CCTGTTTGGGGGCTTGAACTCAGAGCCTGGGTGCTGTCCTTCAGCTTTTTTTTTTTGCTCAAGCCTAGTGCTCTACCTCTGGAGGTTAGTTGGAGATCAGAGTCTTACAAATTGAAACACGAGGTTGTTATTGCTGTTTCTGTTTTCTTTTGTCTGGCTTGTTCACTTACCTGTCTTTGGGAAGGTGAGGGCATAGAAATGGAGGGACTGAGGGTGAACAAATGCAGCCGTGGTCCTCACTAGACACTGTGTTGAAAATGAACTCTGCAGCTTGTGCAGGGGGCCGGAGGGAACAACTTGGAGAGAGGGAGGGAAGAGGTGACCCTGTCCAAACAGAGGTGCACTCTTTACCTGACTCATGTAACTGGAACCCCCTGTAATCACCTGTATAATAACAACTTTAAAGAAAAGAGTCTCACAGACTTTCCTACTCATGTACGCTTCGAACCGTGATCCTTAGATCTCAGACTCCTGAGTAGCTAGGATGAAAAGTGTGAGCCAACACTGCCCAACAGTACGCTAATTTTTAGGAGTATAATTTTATACTGAGAAATACGCCTTCAAATGTGCTGACCTCATTTTGTGGACGCCCTGACAGCCTGCCAGGGAGCCCAGTGGAGGTGTCTGTGTGTCTGTGCGTGCCGGGTCATCGGCCCTGCCAAGGTCGAGCGTGGGTGGCCCAGGGAGGGTGGGCAGCCTGGCCTGGCCCTCAGCCCAGGGCAAGGAGAGGAATGGAGCGGAGGGGACAGTGTGGGCCAGACCTCTGGAGTTCTCAGCTGGGGAGAGGCTTGGCTGGTGGGGGGGGGCAGGATCATGTTCACTCTGAAGCTGCCTGGGGACTCGGGCCAGAGATTGAAGGAGGAGGGGAAGGGGTCAGGGGTTGGGAGGAGAAGGTTGGAGGTCCAGGAGTTGTGCCGGCCCTGGAGGTGCAGGGGCCCTGCCGGGTCTGCTGGGGCTGAGGGATAGGAGGGGCTCAGCTGTGTGGGGCCGGGACAGACTGCGCTCTGAAGACATCACATGGGCCTTGCTGGGGACGGGGTACAGGGGCCCGGGCATGGGCAGATGCCTGAAGGAGGGCTCAGGACTGCTCCATGCTCCCTGGACGATCTTGGGAGGAATTCTATTTGCTCTGTGACTCAGAGAAAGCAAATCAGTGCAGGAATGCGCCAAATCAGTGCAGCCACACCACAATCAGTGCAGCCACACCACAAAGTCAAAGCTGCGCTGCTCCTTTTCTCCTGATGGCAGGTGCAGGTCCTCATATCCGGCCGGGCCCTCTGGACAGGGCAGGATGGCTCTCCATGCCCTCCCTCGGTCCCCTCCCCTAAGTAAGCAGAGGAGAAATTTAAGATCCCCTCCTCCTATCACGGAAGTTCCTGACACACAGCAAAGCCTGCCCCTTCTGTCAACATTGGCCACACATCGTGCGCGTGGTCAGGCTGCCCAGCTGCAGCCACAGGAGACCCCCTCCCTGCCGCAGCTCATTTCCTGCTCGCCCCTTAGTAGGGACGGACACACAGACAGCAGCTTCTCCATGACACTGACCTCTGGTGTTCCCACACAGCCCGGTCCTTCAGGAGGATGCCCTCACCTCGGGGAAGTGATTGCCAGGCATGGGACAAAGCCGCTGACACCAGAACAGGAGCGGGGCTCCATGCGCCACAGGGTTAAAGACAGACTGCCGGGGATGGGGGCCAAGCACACTTTCCAGCCCTTCACGGGCCCAAGTCCCTGCAGGGAGGGCGGGGAGAGACCCCTGGGAGGGAGGCAGGGCTACATGAGCACTTCTGGGCCCGCTGCAGCCCCAGGATGGTCTGCTCATCCTCACAGCATAGCACCAGGAGTGCATCCCGCAGGAGAGGACTGGACACAGAGGGGGTGGGCTGTGTGTCCCGCAGGAGAGGACTGGACACAGAGGGGGCAGGCTGTGTGTCCCGCAGGAGGGGACAGAGGTACAGAGGGGTGGGCTGTGTGTCCCGCAGGAGGGGACAGAGGTACAGAGGGGCAGACTGTGTGTCCCGCAGGAGGGGACAGAGGTACAGAGGGATGGACTGGCCCAGGGACACAGGAGCTGTGTGAGTCAGGACGACGGCTTCTGGCAGGGGATCTAGTCCCATGGAATCCACGGGCGGGAGGGCGGGCCACAGCCCCTGCTCCCCTCCCCAGGTAGAGTGTCCTCCATCCCCAGGGCAGGGGAGGAAGGTGGAGGTGTGGCTGAGCAGGGCTACAGGGGGCAGGGCCCAGCCGTGTGGTCCAAACGCGCTGCTCTGAGGGGTTTGAGCCAGGGGCTCTGCTGGACGCAGCTGGGCCAGAGACGATTTCCTGGCACTCGGGCAGCGGGGTGGGTTGCACAGGAACGAGGGTGTGTGCGGCCTCTCATCATGCAGATGGGGTACAGCCACCAAGCTCCGCCTGAGCCAGAGACCTGGGGGGCTGGAGACCTCAGCGGGGACGGGGAAGATCTTGGAGGGGGCTGGAAACCCCCTGGGGAGCTGGAGACCTGGGGGGCTGGAGACCCCCGGGGGAGCTGGAGACCTGGGGCTGGCGGCTGACTGTATGCATGGCTCACGCCTGGGAAGCCCCTTGCTGAGCACACCGCCCACCCCAGGCAGCACTTGAGATGCCCAGATACACAGACCTGGCCCAGGAGCTCTGGACACCCAGAGGGGGCACCGAGTGGGCTGGAAGAGCTCCCAAGGCTGCCCAGATTTGGCCCTTTCTGGCCCCACCGAGGCCCCGCTGAATGGCATCCGAGTTGACCCGGGGCTTAATCTCCACTGAGTCACCGGGGTTGGCTTGCGGGACAAAGGGGCTGCCCGCCTGCTTCCTGTCCCAGATCAGGGGACCAGAGGCGGGTCTGCATCCTGACGCAGCCCGGCAGCGATGCTGTCAGCTCCGCCCTGCCCTGACCCCCAACATTTTCCCTGTCCCCATGGCAACGTCCCTGGACACCTGCCAGCCCTTTCTTGTTAGGAGTGAGCCACTCGACTATCAGATCCTGGGGGGATGGGAGCCACCGGCCCAGCCCAAGCCCAGGCCTGGAGCTGAGTGGCCTGGGAGACCAGAGCAGGAGGGCTTCGGGGCCCCTGTCCTGCCAGCACCCCCAGGGGCTTGGGTCCCTCCTGAGGGACAAGTGGAATGCGACAGGCCTATTTCTGGGAGCCACCGGGAAAGAAAGATCCGTAGTCTCTGGTCCTGAGCTCTTCTGGCTGCAGGACGGGAGAGGTGGCCTGGTCACCTCCCTCCCGAGACTCGTGGCCTAGGCTGGCTTTTCATGGGACCTGGAGCCCAATGTCCAGTGGCTCTAGCGCTCAGAGCTGGGCTCTCCGCGGACACCAGGTGGGCACTGACAGGGCAGAAGCAGCCCCGGCCGCCTCTTGGGTGCTGGGCCTGGTGCCGGTCTGGGCTGCAGGCTCTGGGTGGCCGAGTGGCCAGCTGCCTGGTAGCTCAGCCCAGCCTGGGACACAGGGTGTTGTGCCCTTTGAGTCCAGGGTGCTGAATCAACCGGGTCAGGGTCAAGGCCTGGGCCCAGGTGGTGACTCAGGCCCGATCTCGTGCCAGGGCCGTGGAAGGCTGCTGGCCAGCCACTTCCCTGCCTTTCTGAGGGCACAAGGAGGCCAGAGCATGGCTCAGACCCCTGGCCAGGGACCCGTTCGCCTGCAGTCCCCACCAGGCCCGGTCAGAGAGGCCACACACGTGGCGGGGCCAGTCCTGTCCACCGGCCTGTCCACAGGGAGGCTACTCTCCACTGCTGACCTCGATCTCAGCTCTGTCAGCACCTGGCAGATGTGGAGTCCAGGGCAAAGGTCGGGCAGGGAAGCCCCGCTGCGTCTGGGGAGGTGACAGGGCTGGCCCAGGCACCCCAACACCCCCTCCCTGCTCCCCACTCATTCACTGGCTTACTCATTAACTTACCCAATCACTCTCTCATTCATTAACTCCCTCATTCATTCACTCATTAACGTACCCAGTCACTCCCTCATTCATTAACTCCCTCATTCATCCATTCATTCCTGTGTTCCTACACTCCTGTGATGTGAGGGGGCTCCTTCTCCTAGATACTGGTACCAAGACAGTGTCGAGGGACAGAGCAGAGACAGAGTTACATTAGGAGATCAGGTAGGGAGAGAGCAGAGACAGTTACATTAGGAGATCAGGTTTGGCTTGGGATGGGCCCAGGGAAGCCAGAAGCCAATGGTCGGATCTGGGGTGCGTCCCGAGTGCCCGCTGGGGCAGAGCAGAGCCCAGTCCCCTTCTCCCCCTGTGCTGCCATCCCTCCTCCAGACCCCCGCTGCACTCTGCCCTGTGGGTCTGCTGGGGGAGGGGGGCCGCGTGGCGGGTGGGTCGGGCCCGAGTCCCGGCAGCACAGACGAGGCCCAGCGCCACCTGCCCATGGCGGGGCAGGTTTCCGTCCAGTGATGTGCTGTCTCTGCTGGAGGCATCCGAGTAATGACTTAGCGGGAGCCAATTCTCAGCCCAGTGGCCAGTGGGCATCAAGGACTCCTGGTCCCTGGCGGTCAGAGGAACTGGGCCTTGCTCACCGCCTGCCTGGGCCCCGCTGTGGTCTCAGGCAGCAGGGGGCTGGGGCTGCTCGGTGGGGAAGGGCTCTTCCCCTTGCTTGGGGGCTGTTGCCCACGGAGCTTCTGACCGGCCAGTCCAGGCTCACAACACCTTATGGGTAGCATTTGGTCATGTTCCTTGAAGAACCAGGAACTCCTGGGTTGTAACTGAGAAAGTCAGGGTGGGGGCCACATGGCTAGGGCCTGCGGGAATCCAGGGGAAAACAGGCCCCACCCAGGGTGGGCCCGCCCACCTCCACCCTCTGCGGCTGACCGGCCTGAAGCAGGTGCCCACTGTTTACCTGGGCGAGAACCACAGCCTGCCCCGCCCCCTCACGCGGAGCCCCCGGGGCTGGGCCGGCTCTGGGGCTACAAAAGCCCGGGGTGGACTCCAGCCTCCCCTCAGAGGCTGCCTGTGGGGACACCTCTCACACCCACACCATGCGTGTTGGCTGGGCGAAGCTGGCCCCGCTGTGGGCGCTGGCGCTGGCCCTGGCTTGCTGCCAGCACACAGGTAGGACTTGAGCTGTCCCGATGTCCCAGGTGGGGCTTGGAGCCCTCGGCCACTGTCCAAGCCCTGGTCTCCTCCCCGTGGCAAGCTGAATGCATCCACGGGGCACCAGCCCCTCAGCCCCCGTGCAGCCCTACTCCTCCCCCAAGACAGCTTCTGGCTGGGGGACCGTGGGGCTGCGGGCTGGACGCCCCCGTGGTGGAGAAGCGCGCTCCATCTCCAAGCCCGGCCGGCCTGGTCGGGTGGCTCTCGGCACCTTGGACACAGGACTCATGTCTGGAGAGTCTGCCTCTGTCGGGGCCTTGGTGGGGGTGTCCTGAGATCTCGACCTTGGGGGACAAGGGGACCCCGACTCGCCCAGGCCTGCGTCTGGTGAGAGAGGGTTACAGCCCTAGGACAGGCCAGTCGTCCTTCCCACGGGGCCAGCACACCCTGCCTCTGCAGGAGAGCCAGGCCGCCAGTGAGGAGGTGGGCGCGGAGGAGGGTAGTGGAGGGGGACGGCCGCCAGTGAGGAGGTGGGCACGGAGGAGGGTAGCGGGGGGGGGAACGGCCTGCAGTGAGGAGGTGGGTGCGGAGGGGGGGGAGCGAGGGGGGGGAACGGCCGTGGCGCAGGCCCCGGGCCCTGGAGGGGCAGGGAACACGCTCACAGTTCTGGCCACACTGGCCATCCTGCTCTAAGCCACAGCCTCTGCCAGAGACCTGGAGCCCGCAGGGCCCGCTTCCACCTGCCTGTGCGCCTCTGGCAGACAGGACCCTGTCTGGCCTGGCCACCCACCCGGTCCGTGCTGACCCCCAGGGGACACTCGCTCCGGAGGCCTGGCATGGTCCTCCCCGAGGCCTGGCATGGTCCTCCCCGAGGCCTGGCATGGTCCTCCCGGGCCTCTGCAGAGCTCACAGGGCAGGGCCAGGGCACAGGGTGAGTGGGCTTCTGAAGCTCCGTCTGTACTGAGGGGCCACACCCATGCCTTGGCCTGTGTCCTGAGTCAGCCACCTTCCCGCTGGCCTCTGCCACGCCGTGTCAAGGCTGGCCTGGCCTCTGGCGTCTGGGAGCCCTGGGCAGGGCTGCACCACCATCTCGCTGGCCTCTGCCGGGCCTGAGGCCCTGGCCAGGGTGCTGATGAGGCTCGTGTCCAGGGAGGCAGGAGGGGACAGCAACTTGGAACCGGCTCTTGCTCTGTCCTTTGCATGTCTGCTCCCCAGGCTGGCCAGTCATGACCCTCATAAGATCACCCCTGCAGAAGCTGAGGGACAGCAGGGCATGGGGGGAGCGCAGGACGCAGGCAGCTGGACTCCAGGTGGAATCCAGTGTGGCCTTGCATGCCACCCCCTCCACCCGCGCCGGGCCTGGCTCCGGCAAGGCCCGCAGGCCACGCCGGCCCCAGGCGTCAGGCTAGCAGGTGGCACTGTGCACATGCGTGCAGCCTGACGGGGCAGCGATGAGGCCATGCTCACGGCCCTCAGCCCGGGAGGCCTCCGATGCCCGGCCACGGGGACCGGAGCATCCTGCCACCCAGACAGCCCTTGCTACCGGATCTCCCACCTCTTTATGCCTCTCCCTTCATCCACACATCTGGTGACCGGCGGCCTGGACCGTTTGAGGCACCTGCCCTGCTCAGGCTCATCTCTTACAGGGCAGGCCCAGGGTGACGCTCTGAAGTCCAGCTATAAGCAGCACCCAAGCCTCTCCCCGGCTCGGGGGCATGGCGGTAAGTCTTGGCCTTCTTTCCCCACCCCACACGACTGCCAGGTTCCCCAACCTCCAACATGCACGGCCAGGGGCCCCAGGACTTCTTGAGGTGGCAACGCAGCTGGTTACCATTGAGGGGTCAGAACTCGGAGGGAGGGGTGCTGGGGGAGGCCCCCTGCCCACGTGGCCCTGGGCAGTCCCTGCTGGCCATCCTTGGTCCAGCCTCGTGGGGCATCGCAGCCTTCAAGGCCCAGGCTTCTCAGGGCTGGCTGAGCTGGACAGGACACTTCCCTGAGGTTCTCTGGCCGCTGGACACCCATGACCAACTGCAGACAGAACGGGGGGCTCCCCAAACCACTTCCTCTGGGCTGCGGGGTCCCCAGCACCTCTCAAGGCCGCACACAGCCCCACGAGCCCCGGTCTCCGCAGGTGACCCACTCCGAGGCGTGACGCTCCTCTCTCCGCTGAGGCCCCTCCCAGTGGTCCAGGGTGAGTGCGGCCCGATGGCTGGCCTGGGGTGGCAGGGCTGCCCGGGGCGGGTAGACAGCGGGGGTCCACGTCCAGGCTGACAATGAGCAGGCCTGGAAAGGGGTCCCCACGGCCTCCAGGCATCCCCAGCACGTTCTAGATCAGTCAGGACTGCCGCCTGAGGCTGCCGTGTCCGGGGTCCCGGAGGCCTGCGGAGGGCGGTGGCAGCCGCCGTGTGCCCAGGAGGCTGCGGGAAAGGCGGCAGCCCCGAAGGCTCAACCGCACTGGTTCCCCACAGCCCTGAACCCCGCGCACAACGGGCAGGTGTGCAGCACCTGGGGCGACTTCCACTACAAGACCTTCGACGGCCGCGTCTTCCGCTTCCCCGGCCTCTGCAACTACGTGTTCTCCGCGCACTGCGGCGCCGCCTACGAGGACTTCAACGTGCAGCTGCGCCGCGGCCCGCTCTCCAACACCTCCGCGCTGCAGGTCACCATGAAGCTCGACGGCCTGGTCGTCCAGCTGGCCAAGAGCTCCGTCCTGGTCAACGGCCGTCCGTGAGTCTCTGGGGTGCTGGGGGGAGCCTGCATCCGGGCGGTGGGGGGCAGCAGGGCCTCGGCTGTCCGTGAGTCTCTGGGGGGTGCTGGGGGGAGCCTGCGTCCGGGCGGTGGGGGACAGCAGGGCCTCGGCTGTCCGTGAGTCTCTGGGGTGCTGGGGGGAGCCTGCGTCTGGGCAGTGGGGGGCAGCAGGGCCTCGGCTGTCCGTGAGTCTCCGGGGGGTGCTGGGGGGAACCTGCGCCCGGGCGGTGGGGGGCAGCAGGGCCTCGCGGTCCTGGGACCCCCCCCC